TCGTCAACTGCATGGCAAAGCTGAGTGACTCCTGCATCACCGAGTCACCGCCACACTACTCACCGGAAGAGCAACTCGACGAAACCACACCCCGCCGCGAGTCACTTCAGCCGAACCCGACATACGCCGCCATCGCCCAAAGCGAACCATCCGGAAGGGACACATGGTTCTTGGACAGTTGCTGCGGACAACACATGTGCTCCTCGGGACGCTTCGTTCAACGAGAACCCCAACTTCAACGCGAAGTTGTCATTACAGTCGCCAACAATCAGAACCTGCAAACACGACGACAAGGTGTAGTTCAACTTCAGTCAAGGGAAACAAACGTTGTACTGCAGATGTCAAAAGTACTAATCGCGGAGGGACTCGGCTACAACTTACTGAGCGTCAGTCAGCTAATGGCAAAGGGGATTCACCTCGAAGCAGACAGCACCACCCAAGAATTCAAGCTGTATCACGGGAGAGGAGGACTCTACATTGGCAAGGCGGTCCTCAAGAACAACGTCTTCGTTCTTGACTTCGTTCCTGACCTTGGCACCGCCGACAGCGACGCCATCGTTAACTTCACCGACTGGACACACCCTCCAGACCTTGATCCAGACTTCAGTCCAGAAGGCTTCTGGTATTCACACACCATCCCTGAAGCAGAAAGAACAAGGGCGTTAGCAACAATTCAGACAACATCGGCAGCAGCAGAGACAACGTCGGCAGCAGCAGAGACAACATCGGCAGCAGCAGAGACAACATCGGCAGTAGCAGAACCATCAACGGCAGCAGCAGGAACGTCAACACCAATTGCTGGTCCTTCAACGACACCGCTCCTCATCGACGACACACCACCGACACCCGCGCAACAACTACACCCAGCACCACGAGAAGTTCATCGTAGCGCCAACTTCACCGCCAACTTCTACTCCAACTCAGATATGTACCGACGATCACCCGGACATCGCGCCGACGAAAGCACCTGGCACGCAAGGATGGGACACCCAAGCAACACAGTATTAAACAATACGATAAGAGCAGGAGTACTCGACAAGGACTCACTTCTACTGACCGACGGACGAGAACTTCAACGAGTACGCGGAACGTGCCTCACCTGCCCTGAGGGTGACTTACCACATCGACCGTTTGCGTCTCATCACAACCCGAGCGCACCCGCGTACGCACCACTCGAGAAGGTGTATAGCGACATCCTGTACAATCGGGAACCAGGACAAGTAATATACAACTATACAATCACCTTCATCGACGCCGCCACCCGTTACGTCTGGCACCTAAACCTCCCTAGCCGCGACATGGCATTCGCAGCCTTCGTTGCCTGGCTACCAGTAGCAGAGAGAGAATCAGGCATGAAGCTGAAATGCTTCCAGTCAGACGGAGGAGGAGAATACACCTCTCAGCGATTCAAGCAGTACCTGGCGGAAAGGGGAATCAAGCGACTCATCTCCCTTCCCTACGCCCATCAGCAGCAGGGTGTAGCAGAAAGAATGAACAGGACCTTACAGAACAGCATGCGCAAACTGTTACGTGGCATGCGGCTACCCAACCACCAGTGGCCTGCAGCAATGGACCACGCCGTCATGCTGCACAACTTGCTGTCGTCATCATCGCTTCCAAACAACGCATCACCGCATCTGCTATGGACAGGGAAACAGGGCAGCACAAAAATGTTACGAGTATTCGGATGCATGGTACAGTACCGACCCCCAGCAGCACGAGCGGGCCGATTTTCTCAACGAGCACAGTGGGGACTACACCTGGGAATCGAAAAGAACTACAACGCGTGGAAAATCTTCGACGTCCACTCCAAGGAAACAGTAGCAGCACGTGATGTAATTTTCTACGAACGACTCACGCTCCAGACATACCTTGCCAACCTGCACGAAGACCAGGATCCCACAGGTGGTTTTCGTGGTGACCGAGCCTTCGCCTCAGCAGCGGACGAAGCCGACTGGGACGAGCAGAATGTGGACAACGCATCAGAAGAAGCCGGACCTCTTCCGTTCTGCTCCGTCGACGTTCCCATGGACGAAGACAACCCTCGCGAAAGTGCCAACGCCGAAACCTTCTACCATTTCGCCGACAACGGTTACGTAACACCTGCGACAGTCAACACCAACGAAGCCGAACGAGTAGGATCGAACTTCATACCTGATCCAGAAGCGGGAGATGAAGCAGCTTATCCCGAGGACGTAAATCTTCCCCGCTACTCACAGAGTGGACTACAGATTCTCGGACTCGTCACCGCAGTCCACGGCACCGCCACTCCTAAAGAGCCTGCGACGGTTCAGCAGGCTCTGGGGGGGGAACATAGGGAAAAATGGCGCGAAGCCATGGACAAGGAACTGAAGGCACTGGAGGAACGCAACACGTGGAAAGTGGTTCCTATCGGCGTGGCACGGAACAAGACAGTGCTCACCGGGAAGTGGGTCTTCCGTGTGAAGACAAAGGCTGACGGCACCATCGACAAATTTAAGGCACGCTGGGTCGTACGCGGCTTCGACCAAGAGCACGGACACGATTTCACCGAAACATTCGCTCCGGTCAGCCGACACACCTCGCTACGCATCCTTCTCGCGATCGCCGCCATGAAGAAGAAGAAGCTGCGGCAAATCGACGTCGCTAACACATTTCTCTACACACCCGTTGATGCAGAGATCTTCGTCGAGCTACCACACGGCTCCAGCACGGACTCGAACCACGTCTGTCAACTACTCAAGTCGCTCTACGGCATCAAGCAAGCTCCGCGACTATGGCAACAATACCTACACGCTCGCCTCATTCGCATCGGCTTCAAGCAATTGCCGCACGACCAGGGCATGTACCGGCTCACGAAGGGTACCGACTACATCCTGCTAATCGTCTATGTAGACGATCTGCTCTACATCGGCTCAACTGACGGCATTACAACCTGGTTCGAAGGGGAGCTACAGCAAGACCTCACACTCACGGTCTCATCTACCGTCACACAGTACCTCGGCCTCAACATCCGGGAAGAGGAAGACGCTATCTCCCTCAGCGCCGCGAAATACGCCGACACCATCGCCAAGCGTTTCGCACTCACACCGACTGTCATCTCCACACCGTACCGCTACACGACAGCAAACAACAAGGAAGGCTCCGTTCTACTCAAGCCCGCCGGCATACGCGACTACCAGAGAAAGCTGGGCTGCCTTCTCTTCGCAGCTGTCACCTGCCGCCCAGATCTATCCTACTCTGCAAGCCAGCTCGCCACCCACCTCAAGAAGCCTGAAGCGGAAAATCTGGCGGAGCTCGACCGCGCTCTTCACTACCTTGTCAGTACCCCGACGGTCGGCCTGACTTTCCATAAGAACACAACTACAACGCCTAAGCTAATCGGTTACGTCGACGCAGATCACGCGGGCGACTCAGACAATAGGCGCTCCCGCACCGGCTACATCTACCGCCTCGAACCTATCGGACCTATCTCCTGGCAATCGAGCAAGCAGGAACTAATCACTCTCTCGTCAGCTGAAGCAGAATATATTGCACTCTGCTCAGCCACCAAGGAAGGACTCTATCTTCGCGAGCTGCTGGAAGAAGCGAAGTTAGCCGAGTTACCCAACTTTACCCTGTTCTGCGACAACCAATCGGCAATTCGCATCGCCAACAAGAACGGCTTCGCGAACAGGACGAAACACATCGCCCTGCGATATTTCTTCGTGAAGGACGAGATCGAGAAGGGAAGGCTTGAGCTGTCATACTGCCCCACGTCCGAGATGGCAGCTGACTACCTGACCAAGAAGCTCGGAAAGCAGAAGTTCGAATACTGCATGCTGCTGACTGGACAAAGCCACGTCAGCGACACTCCAGAAGCGAAGGGGAGTGTTGGAAACAATCGGTCCTAAGCGCTTCTGTCGTGTCGAAACACTAAGGCACAAGCGAAGCAAAGCATATCGAGGCACCAGCGAGTTAACCCTCGGAGGTTGAAGTAACCGCTGGAGGTTACGCGAAAGTCAAAGGTCAGCGACCTTTGACCTGACAAGTACAGCGCGACAGCAAGGACACACAACTGACTCGCTACAGAGCAGTTGCCCGAGTCGTCACTGTATCGAACCGCAACAGCAACAAGTAAAACAGTTATAACCGTATCCTTTCATATTCCTTGTACTCTTATATAATCTTGTATCTCTTTGTTTTAATCAACTTACTTTGCCCTCACATACTAGCGCAAGGTGGTTCACAACTCTTTAATTAACGCTTCCGCTACTACACCAACTCTACCCAGAGTTCACCCCTGCAAAGATCCTAAGGGCCTTTTCAGCCCAACACCAACTACAACTGCTTCCATGGCCTACCCTACGTACGGGCACAAAAGCAACCGCAGAGCATGATGCGGATAAGTGGGAAATGTACTGGTACTACCCACTGAAAAAATGACCGTATCACCCACTAAGGAGCCCCTCCCTCTCCCTTCCCCCAAACTCCTCCCCTTGGCTGTTGGTTACATGCCACTCAACCGCCCTATAAACCTCCCCATCCCGTCCTACAAGCCCCGGCTCTCCCCCCGCCTTTCCCAATGCCATCCTGTGCTGATTCCCCCCTGATTTACAATGGTGCCATGCCCTGCCATCATGCTGCTGTGCCGGGCCGTATGGGTGGGTTTGACATGATGTATAAATGGTTCTGCCGTGCTGTATGTGATTTTTTGACATGCCCAATGCTGATTGGTTCATGCCATGTGACTGCAGTGCCACGTGACTGCAGTGCCACGTGACTGCAGTGCCACCTCACTTCCGCATGGGAGGGCTGACGCTAACCTCCTCTTAAGCCTCATTTGTGTCTCAGTGAGGCAGCCAAAGCTAGTTTCTACACCTACACTCCTACCCCTGCCATCCTTTTCCCTGCCCCAGGCACTACCCCCTCCCCCTCCGCTGCCATCCCTTGCCCTACTCATCCTCCTATTTCTTACCCTCCTGCTTCTTCCCCTCCTACCCTTTGCAATCCTGCTCCTCCCCCAGCAGCAGCGATCTCCCTCAATCACTGCTCGGCTCCTCTTGGCTGCACTGCAGCGCCACCAGCAGCAACCCGTCGCTGCAGTCGCTGTATACTGCCCGTGCCCTACATCTACACTCCTCCCCCGCCCACTGCAATCCCTCCCCCTGCCACTGCAATCCCTCCCCCGGCCACTGCAATCCCCCCCCCTGCCACTGCAATCCCTCCCCCTGCCACTGCAATCCCTCCCCCGGCCACTGCAATCCCTCCCCCTGCCACTGCAATCCCTCCCCCGGCCACTGCAATTTTTTTTTTGCCACTGCAATCCCTCCCCCGGCCACTGCAATCCCTCCCCCTGCCACTGCAATCCCTCCCCCTGCCACTGCAATCCCTCCCCCTGCCACTGCAATCCCTCCCCCGGCCACTGCAATCCCTCCCCCGGCCACTGCAATCCCTCCCCCTGCCACTGCAATCCCTCCCCCGGCCACTGCAATCCCTCCCCCTGCCACTGCAATCCCTCCCCCTGCCACTGCAATCCCTCCCCCTGCCACTGCAATCCCTCCCCCGGCCACTGCAATCCCTCCCCCAGCCACTGCAATCCCTCCCCCTGCCACTGCAATCCCTCCCCCGGCCACTGCAATCCCTCCCCCTGCCACTGCAATCCCTCCCCCGGCCACTGCAATCCCTCCCCCGGCCACTGCAATCCCTCCCCCGGCCACTGCAATCCCTCCCACTGCCACCCCTTCCACTCCTGCGCCTTCTGTTCCTCCCCCTTCCACTCTTTGCGCCCCACCTGCAGCAGCAATCTCCCTCAGTCTCTGCACCAAACGGTTCATCTCAGGCCACTTGCTCGGCTCCTCCTGGCTGCACTGCAGCGCCACCAGCAGCAGCCTCTTCCAGCCGAAAACTGCCCATTACCTACAATTAAACTCCTACCCCTGCCACTACTGCCCCTCCGCCTGCCATCCCTTGCACTCCTGCTCCTCCTCCTTCCACCCTTTGCGCCCCTCCTTTCCCCACCCCAGAGGCAGCGATCTCCCTTAACCTCTCCACCACACGGTTCATGTCGGGTCGCTTGCTGGGCTCCTCTTGACTGCATTGCAGCGCCACCAGCAGCAGCTTCTTCGCTGCACCCGCTGAGAACTGCCCCTTCAGCCGTGGATCCACCACTTGGCTTATATGAAACCCATCCGCCTTCCTCCCCTCCTGCTGCTGCCCCTGCTGCTGTTGCCCTTCATTACCCGCTCCTCCCGCTTCTGCTGCTGCCGCTGCTGCTGATACTGAGTCCCCCCCTCCCCCCCCTTTTGTACCTCGCGCCAGCTGCTTGTGGATCCAGGGGAAGAGGCGGTTGTGTGTGGCGGTGGTGGCGGGGGATCGGCCGGTGAGCAGCTCGAGGAGGACCACGCCCAGAGAGAAGACATCGCTCAGCGGGGTGAGGTGACCTGGTGGTTGGCGATGCATGGGAGAGGGTGACAAGGAGGGGAAGTGGGAGTGGGTGAGAAGCACTACGCCCAGATAGAAGACATTGCTGAGCAGGGTGAGGTGACCTGAGAGTGGGGAGGGGTTGAGGGGGTGAAGCATGCAGGGAGCGGTGAGCAACTTGAGGAGAACAACGCCCAGGGAGAAGACATCGCTCAGGGGTGTGAGGTGACCTGGAGAGAGGGGGGGGATGGTTGTGCGTAGTGGAGGGGAAGAAGAGGCGGTTGTGGGTGGCAGCAGTGGTGGGGAACTGGCCGGTGAGCAGTTCGAGCAGCACGACGCCCAGAGAGAAGACATCGCTCAGCGGGGTGAGGTGGCCTGGAGGGGCGGTGACGCACAGGAGAGGGTGAGAAAAAGGGGGAGCGGGAGCAGGTGAGCAGCTCGAGGAGAACCACGCCCAGAGAGAAGACATCGCTCAGCGGGGTGAGGTGACGTGGGGGTGGGGAAGAGGGGATAGGGGGGTGACTCGCGGAGGAGAGGCACAAGAAGGAAAGAGGAGGGGTACAGTGAGCAGAACAATACCCTGAGGGAGAAGACATCGCTCAGGGGGGTGAGGTGACCAGAGTGGGGTGGGGGGGGGGGGGGAGGAGGGGTGAAGTGCCTCTAGAGTCAAGTCACCTCAACCGGTGAGCAGGTCGAGCAGAACCACACCCAGGGAGAACACATCGCTCAGGGGGGTGAGGTGACCTGGGGGTGGTGGGGGAGGATGAGCGGGTTGATGCACGGGAGGGGACCGGGAGACGAAGGGAGAAGAGGGAGAGGTGGGAGAGGGGACGAGGAAGGGGGGATGGGGATTCAGGGAGGAAAGAGGCAGTTGCGGGTAGTGGAGGGGAAGTGCGGGAGGGAAGAGCGGTTGTGTGCAGTGGAGAGGAAGTGGGGGAGGAAGGGGCGGTTGTGTGTAGTGGTGATACCCGAACAACAAGGACCACAAACAATTTACAGGCCTCCCCACCTGTGCCGAAATAATCAGGGTCAAGGTACCCTAGCCCAGGGTACCCATGATGCGAGTCGATACGTGCCTCACGCCCTCCTCCCCTCCATACCCCACATGCACAAGTCATATCCTCGTTACAAGCCTCCACACCTGTATCGATATAGTCAGGGTCGAAGTAGGGTGCCCATGATGCGAGTTGACACGTGCGTCTTGCCGCTCACTACCCCACAATCCATCTTAATCCATCTGCACTGCACTGCACCGCACTGAATCCCTCCCCACCTGTGTCGATGTAGTCAGGGTCGAGGTACCCCAGGGTGCCCATGATGCGAGTCGAAACGTGCGTCTTCCCCTCCTCTGGTCCCCGTGTAGCCATGCCAAAATCGGTTACCTTTGCCCTTAATTCCTGCCAAGATAGATATGGGAGGGGAGATGGGAGGAGGGGGCGGGGGCGGGGAGGGGGGCGGGGGGGTGATTAAGGTGGAATTTAAGCTATTTATGTGGCCATGCCGAAATCCGCCACCTTCGCTTTCAAATCCTGCCAAATAAGATATCAAGGGAGGGAAAGGGCGGAAGCTGTGCAGCAGATGCTGAGTCTCAGTTTCCTTCAGACCCCATGTTGCCTGCCATGCTAAGGCTGGTGGTAAAGCTGGTGGACAATTTTAAGTCGACTCAAAAGTAACGATGTGTCATTGCAGTTGACTCAAGAGATGCCCATTACAATGTACCCCTACGAATGCCCATGTAGGTACCCCCCGCACATATAAAGGCACACTACTCGTAAGGTATTTACCATCCCACAAACGGTACCGCACACTGCGCTCTCCTCAGCAACTTCTCCTCCCACTTACATCACCCAGAGACAAAGTACGGACCTGAAAAGCTTAGCCAATTTCACGGGTGGTTTCCCTTCAAAACTCACCTACACCCCCCTACAACTTACATGGTCCAGCATGACATTATGGGACTTGAAGTCGCGGTGAATGATGCTCTGCCCGTGCAGATATGCCATGCCCTCCGCCATCCATGCCCACTGCCAAGCGTGGTTTACACTAAAAGAACATACACTAGCGAGTACAGACCCCCCCTCCCTCCCACTCACACTGTCCAGCATGACGTTGTGTGATTTGAAGTCGCGGTGAATGATGTTCTGCCCGTGCAGATATGCCATGCCCTCCGCCATACAAGGCCATGCAAGCCCATACAAGGGCACTCATGCCATGTCATCCCACTTACACTGTCCAGCATCACGTTGTGTGATTTGAAGTCGCGGTGAATGATGTTCTGCCCGTGCAGATATGCCATGCCCTCCGCCATACAAGGCCATGCAAGCCCATACAAGGGCACTCATGCCATGTCATCCCACTTACACTGTCCAGCATCACGTTGTGTGATTTGAAGTCGCGGTGAATGATGTTCTGCCCGTGCAGATATGCCATGCCCTCCGCCATGCCCACTGCCACGTGCACGCGCTGCTCCCATGTCAGGCACGGGCTGTCCGGGGAGAGGTCTTGGGTGACGAAGAAGGGATTGATAAGATGGGTGGGAGGAGAGGGGTTGGGGAAGGATGGCAGTTGGATTTGGCTAGAAGCAAATGTGATGTGCCATGCCCTCCACCACACCCACTGCCACCTCCACTCACTGTTCCCATGTCAGGCATGGGCTGTCCGGGGAGAGGTCTGGAGGGAAAGTTGAGGTGGAGGGGAAACAAGGAAGGAGAAACTGGTTGACATCGGATACGCCAAACGCAAGGCCTCGCTCATACCCACCTGCCACTTTCGACGGCTGCTCCCACGTCAGGCGCGGGCTGTCCGGAGAGAGGTCTGGGGCAGTGGTGAGTGTGGTGGGGAGGATTGACAAGGGTGGGGGAGGGCGGGGAAGGGGACGAAAAGAGGTAGTTAGGAATTGGTTGGACGTGCAATTCCTAACCCAAGGGGAAGGACGTGCACACAGATTGGCGTGGACACACCACCCAAGTGCACCCAAAGCCAGGCACGGGCTGTCCGGGGAGAGGTCTGGAGGGATGCTCGGAGTGTAAGGGAATCCCAAAAAGGAAGATATGCGCGTGGGAAAGGGACAAGGAGGGTTGAAGGCTGGTGGTTGTTGAACATGCGTGGCTGGTGAGAGGTAGAGGTCTGGGGTGGTGATGGTTGGTGTGGGGCGGATCAACTAGGGGGGAAGGAGGGAAGGATGGTGGGGTATGGAGGGTTGTCAGAGTTTGCTGCAAGCGAATACCCCAGGGGACCCACATGCATCGAATGATCAGTGCTTCTGTGACAACAACACAAGGGGAAGTCAGAAAAGAAAGAAAAATAAATCCGTGACAACACAAGCACCCATGCGTGCGTATTTTGAGGCACCAAAAAAATGTACAGCCACTGAATGATGACTGCTTCTGCGTCAACACAAGCACGCATCCGTGCGAGAAGACAGGTTAAAAAGGCACTGTGCCACCACTATTCAGCATCAAGCGTGTTGATGAAGTGGGTGGATGAGGTCGAAACTTTCTGCGCCCAGCTGCAGAGGTAACTGAGGGGGGCGGTGGATGCAGAGCTGCGAATGCCGAAGCCATCCAAGTGGATAGGTAGCGAGGCTTGGAGTCGGGTTGATGTGGACTGTTCAGAGGTGGGATTCCCGAATGTGAGGTCCCACGGGTCCTCACTCATCGGGGAAGAGCTGCAAGATAGAGATCCTTTTAGCAGTAGGATCAAAGCCTTGTAAAATTCGTCCACTAAACTGAATGCTCAGCTAAAGAAAAATCTTGCGCAGGAACTCGTCTCTTGATTAAAACAAGACAAAGACAAACAAATGTCGGCACTGGGCGCAGGAGTTCGGCACTGATGAAGGTCTGATCGGGTCTTTCCCCCGTGATAGGCCGAAACATGTTTGTCTTTGTCTTGTTTTAATCAAGAGACGAGTTCCTGCGCAAGCTTACAAATTTGTCTTTAGCTGAGCATTCAGTTTAGTGGACGAATTTTACAAGGCTTTGATCCTACTGCTAAAAGGATCTCTATCTTGCAGCTCTTCCCCGATGAGTGAGGACCCGTGGGACCTCACATTCGTGTTCAGAGGTGGGATTCCAGTACTCGGAGCCTAGGAGCTGAGAGAAGTGGCTGAAAATGGTACTATCCCATGAAGAGAGTAGCTCTTGGATTTCGGGAAAAGGTGCGACAGTTTGGAGAAGGAAAGAAGGTCGGGCAGTGATGCATAAGGAAAGGATACGTGACACAATCTGTGGGTCCCAGTGAGGATGAAGGGAGAAGGCGGAACAAACTTCGTCAACCACACACCACCCGAGGTGACTTCTCTATCAGCAGCTGACTTTGCTTACTTGAGAGAGGACCATTGAGACGTCACAGAGGCCTATTTGTAGGCCTCACTATAGGAGTAACTTGCATGTCTGTCCTTACACTAGCTGTTTGGATTTACTATACTGTCAATAAAGAGGTAGAATAGCACCCTGCCATGTGCCCGGTGCAGACTCGGGTTCGATTCCCAGCTGGCAAAGCCGAAGTTGTGTTGGTTTTTCTTTTGGCTTGTTTCAGTTACCGCTCGTGTTTTTGTTACATCTCTCTCCATCTCTCTCCATCCCCCGCATCCACCAGATTATGAACCATAAAAGAACCAGAAGATTGTAAGACTTGAAAAAAGAACTTGATTGCTCGAGCAAAACAACGTCCCTATTTTGAAACTGCCATCCTATAGTGAGCCAGCTCACAACAGACCAGGTCACGCACGAAAAAGGAAACAGACTGAACAAACCCAGTTCTTTCGCAAAGCATCAGCTAGGCATCAATGGGGCGCATACGCCGTTCACCAACCCTTGAATAATCATCCCAGCACCATTCATCCCAGCACCATTCATCACAGCACCATTCATCCCAGCACCATTCATCCCAGCACCATTCATCCCAGCACCATTCATCCCAGCACCATTCATCACAGCACCATTCATCACAGCACCATTCATCCCAGCACCATTCATCCCAGCACCATTCATCACAGCACCATTCATCACAGCACCATTCATCACAGCACCATTCATCACAGCACCATTCATCCCAGCACCATTCATCACAGCACCATTCATCACAGCACCATTCATCACAGCACCATTCATCACAGCATCATTCATCCCAGCACCATTCATCACAGCACCATTCATCACAGCACCATTCATCACAGCACCATTCATCACAGCACCATTCATCACAGCACCATTCATCACAGCACCATGCAGTCCGATCCTTTCCCAAGCAAGGAAAGCATTAACTCCACATGGACTGGCCTATCAACGCTGATGGGCCGCCCAGCAGCACCATGCCGCCCAGCAGCACCATGCCGCCCAGCAGCACCATGCCGCCCAGCAGCACCATGCCGCCCAGCAGCACCATGCCGCCCAGCAGCACCATGCCGCCCAGCAGCACCATGCCGCCCAGCAGCACCATGCCGCCCAGCATCACCATGCCGCCCAGCAGCACCATGCCGCCCAGCACCACCATGCCGCCCAGCAGCACCATGCCGCCCAGCACCATGCATCCCGATTGTGTCCCAATGAGGGCATCACCTCGGCATGACCGACTTGTCAGCGCTGTATGAACGGGTGTATGCGGGCCGCATCCATCCCTCACCCAACTTTGACCATGCATGCAGCCGGGCACCATGCAGCCGGGCACAATGGGCCCAGCAGGCGACCTGACCATGCGGGGTGGAACCAGGCCCAACATCAGCCACACGCCACCTGGGTTGACCCTCTCCCCACCCACCCCTCCCTAGTAGACGACGGTGCCGTGCATTTAACGTGGTGGTCTTTCTCTGGGTCTCATCCTTATGTCGCAGCTTTGAGTTCATTCCTCATATTCGCTTCCCTGAGAAGTCTCTCAGATGCAACGTCAAAGAGCCAGTGCATTTCATACCGCCATACAATGATCCCATCAAGCATCTAAAAGCGTGCCAGTGGTCTAGTGGTAGAATACGCACGGCGCAGAGTGGAGTCTTCCTTGCAACGGCGTGGCTTGAGCTTTGTGTTGAGCAGCAGTGGATAGCACGGTGCCGTCATCAGTTTCTACCTCCTGCTGCACGAACAACAGATTTGCGAACCCCCCCTTCCCCCGACGTGCATTTTCGCCTCCCCCCACCAACCCAACTTCCCGCCACTTTGCCAACCTCACATCCGCGCTTGTGCTTCTCCCCAGCCACTTTTTGTGACCTTCCTCGCTACACCAACTTCTTCCTTGAAACAAAGACTACACTTTCCACCTCATTTGTTATGCTTCCTTTACCTCCAACATCATTTTGCATGCCACCAGCCCAATACCTTACAGAATGACAGGCCGCAAAAGGGGCCGTGCTGCCCAAGACTCTGAACCCACTTCTCCTCGTCCGCCTGCCCGTTCGCGACAAACTCCAGCCTTCGCGATTCTTTCGACCTCCTCATCAAACCTTGCACCACCCCCTACTCCTAAGCCTCAATCATCTTCTGCTCCCTCCCAGCAACCTCAGCCAACAGCAGCGCCAAAAATTGTCTCGGAGAAACAAAAGGAGATTCTCCAGCAGGTCCTTAAAGCCACCCTTCCTGATTCTCCGTCTCCATCACGGCCTCAAACCTCTCACCCTCAGCCCTCGACTTCCCGTGCCCATCTTTCATCTACCTCAACACCTCCACCGACGACTACAGCAGATGCTCCTGATCCCACAGCCCCTGCCGACAACACGCACCCACTATCACACTATGAAACTGCTGCTTCACCTTCTCGAGATCCCCCTCCTCCTTCCCCTACCCCTCACGCTACGCAGCCATGCCCGCAACCCTGCCCGCCCTCATCAACCTCCGATAACCCACTACCTCCTAATTCTTGCCCCACATGTCGACGCACCTTTGCCAACTCAGGTTCGCTGGCCCGTCACCTTCCAGCCTGCTCTCGCAACACCGCCACACGTCAGCAAGCTGCTCGGCCTCCTCCTCCCCGCTCATCAGCCCCAACCTCGGCGCCTGCAGCCGTAGATCGACCTGCAATTCCTCAAGCCACTTGGGAGGCCGTTCCTTCCTGGGATTGGCCTTCCTTCTTCAGCCCAGCAGTCTCACCTGGCCCTATTCTCCGCCGAATCCCCTCCCGCATCCGACTCCTCATTCTCGATGCACTTCTCATTCCACTGCGCCGCCTTGCACAGCATCCTTCTGACGACGCTGCACACCTCATTCTCTTGGCATTTCCGCGTCTCTTGCTGCGCCTACCATCCGCCGCTGCTCCCACGCAGTCCCTTACCTCTTCATGTGCCTCCTTAGCGCGCCGCTTCATCAATGGTGACTGGCAGTCTCTTTTCAGTGAAGCCGTAGCTGCAGCCACTCCAGCCGCCAGACCTCTGCACATGGCATCGGCACGTTCTACGGCGCTGCAGGCTCGTCTCAACCGTGCGAAACGGTTTGCGAAATGCGGGGACTGGTCACGTTCACTGGCAGCACTGGAAGCTGGCGAGCTAGCTCCTCCATCATCAGAAACGGTTGCTGCCCTCAGCTCCAAGCACCCACCTGCTGCAGCAGAAATTCCTGACTGGGTACACAGCTTCACTCCTACAGCCGCACCACAGCTTACTGTCCCTGTTCTCCAGGCCGCTCTACAGTCCGCCCCCCGTGGCACAGCTGCTGGACCTTCTGGGTGGTTCATTGAGCACCTCAGGGACACGTTTCTCTCTCACCAGCAGCATCTCCCTTCTCTCCTCCACGTATTCCAGAACTGGCTGCAGGGTGATCTTCCACTTGCAGTCAGGCCTTTCTACACCGCTTCGAACCTCGTGGCCCTACAGAAACCGCATGGTGGTGTACGTCCCATCGCCATTGGGGAAGTGCTACCACGCCTCCTTTCACGCTGCATCACTCTCCTTTTCAAGCAGCAGATGCGAGAGACATTCCTTCCTCACCTTCAATTTGGCGTAGCAGATCCGGCCGGGATCGAGATTATGTCGCACGCAGTGTGCTCCGCTTTCTCCCTTCATCCAGACTGGGTGGTGCTTCAGCTGGACGTTGCAAACGCGTTCAACTCATTCAACCGGGTTTCCATGTTTGAGGCATTAAGGCGCTCCCCATTCTCTAGTCTCATTCCATTCTTCCGCCTATTCTACTCCACCCCTTCACCTCTCCACTACCGCAGCGGCCCCCTTCTCCACACATTCCAGTCAGCTTCAGGTGTTCGTCAAGGCGACCCTTGTGGCCCTTTTCTTTACGCCCTAACACAGCAGCTAGCCATCCAACCAACCCAGCAACAGTCTCCCTCAATTTTCGTTACCTCATACGCAGACGATACCTACTTGGTCGGCCCTCCCTCAGACGTCTTTTCCGCATACAATGACCTTACCTCCCGCCTTCTCTCTCTTGGCCCTACTGTCCAACCCTCTAAGTGCTCTCTATGGGCCCCTATGGACTTGCCCGAACACTGCATTCCGCCAACGGGTATTTCCATCGCTGCAAACGGTCTCACTGTGGCTGGAGTTCCCACCGGCTCAGACGGTTTCATCATCTCTACAGTTCGTGACAAGCTCGATTCTTTCACTATCTCCCTCCCTTTACTGCATCAACTGCAGGACCCACAGATTGCCTCACGGATCCTTTCCTTATGCATCACTGCCCGACCTTCTTTCCTCCTCAGAACTGTCGCACCTTTTCCCGAAATCCAAGAGCTACTCTCTTCATGGGACAGCACGATTTTCAGCCACTTCTCTCAGCTCCTGGGCTCCGAGTACTGGAATCCCACCTCTGAACGGTCCACATCGGCCCGCCTCCAAGCCTCGCTCCCTATCCGCTTAGGTGGCTTCGGCATTCGCAGCTCTGCATCCATCGCCCCCCTCAGTTACCTTTGCAGCTGGGCGCAGGCAGTTTCGACCCTATCCACCCACTTCATCACTGATGGTGCTCCTCTTTTCCGCCCTTACGTCACCACGGACTCCATTAACCTCCTCGACCCTTCAATCTCATCTACCATGACCATGCTTCCCCAAGACATTCGTGACCGCTTCCCATCATGGCCTGTGCTTCAATCGGGCTACCCTCCTAAACTCTTTACTCACCTCTCCCAACACCTCGAAGCCGATTTGCTGGAGAAGGTTCGAGCCACAGTAACGTCCCCGCTTCGCCTTGCTCGTCTAACCTCTTTGCAGGGCCCGCATGCAGGTGACTGGCTCACTGTGGCTCCATCCTCCCCGCACATGCAGCTTTCAGAGACCGAGTGGCGCATTGCAGCAGCTATCCGCTTAGGCCTTCCTCTTCCTCAGCTTTCATCTTCACTCACCTGCACCTGCAACTCCCCGTTCACCGATCCTTCCATCCATTCTCATGTCCTTCGCTGCCCTAGCAACAACGAGCCTACTAAGGTGCACGACGCAATCAAACGAGAAGTTCATCGCATTGCCTTGGAGTTTGGGTTCTCTGCGCAGATGGAAGACCAGCATCTCCTGCCTGGCCGCCGCACAGACATCACGTGCCGCGACATTAGCTCTGGTACCACCTGGGCCTTGGATGTTTCTATTGCTGATCCACAAAAGGGGTTTCCACACTCCAACGCAGCTACGGTGATTGGTTCAGCAGCAGCCACTCGTGAAAGTGAGAAGACCACCCACTATGCTGCAGCACTTCGTGACCGTCCAGACGTCAAACTGTTTCCCCTTGTCATCGAAACCTTCGGTTGCTTCGGCTCATCGTTCAACAATTTCCTACGCCAATGCAGCCGCAAAGGGGCTTCACAACTCCGTGACTTGAGTGGTGCTACAGATTTCCTTCCCCTGCTGTTTGAGACCAACTTCTACAAACGGATTTCTCTGGTCCATCAACGTGAGCAGTCTCGCACTGTTTGTCGTCGTGCACAAATTTGTTTTACCGAGGGCGTCAACCACGCACCACCCGAGGTGACTTCTCTTTCTGCAGCTGACTTTGCCTACTTTGGAGAGGACCATTGAGACATCTCAGAGGCCTATTTGTAGGCCTCACAATAGGATTAGCCTGCATGTCTTTCCATACACTAGATGCTTGGATTTGTCTTGTATCCATTGTACATTTACTATAGTGTCAATGAAGAGGTAGAATAGCACCCTGCCATGTGCCCAGTGCAGACCCGGGTTCGATTCCCGGCTGGCACATCAGTTTTGATCTCTACATTTTTTTTTTTTTTTCCTTTTCTTTTTTTTCGGGGTGCTGAAGACATGCATCGTCTTAGAAGATATGCAATCCCTCCCACCGCCCTCTTCGTCCTCTCACTCACTGTTGGGGTGCAGCCAGTGGTGCAGGTCGCCTCGCTCCAGCAGCTCATACACCAGAATCGCCCGGCTGTCCTCCATGCAGTACCCCAACAGCTGCACCAGGTTGGGGTGTCTCAGATCGCCCAGCACTAGGATCTCCGCCTGTGGTGGGGGGAGAGGGAGAGGAATGGGTACGCGTGTTGGAGAGAAAAGGAATAGAAATGGGGGTGTGAGGGAGAGGAGCGCAGCACTGCAGTCCTCCATGCAGTACCCCAACAGCTACACCAGGTTGGGGTGTCGCAGATTGCCCAGCACTAGGATCTCCGCGTGTGCAGTGAAGGACGCATGGTAGGGGGGGGCGAAACCGTGTGGGGATGAGTAGGAGAAGCAGCCGCAGCAGGTTTGGGTGGTTTAAGGATTCCCAGCATGAGGAGGATCTGCACCTGTGGGGTGAAGGACGCGGAATGGGGGGAGAGAAGCGCAGCATTGCCACCTCACATGCAGTATCTAGGGATAACAGGTGCACCTGATTGGGGTATTTAGGTCGTATCCCTGGCTAGTGTCAAGAGTGGTTAGTGTCATGACACAAACACGGAAAACGCATGGAGGACTAAACCTCCTGGTGTCAGCTTGGGATGGCTCGGGAAGTTGGCACAATGTTGGCAACATTGGCACCAACCTGGAGCCGCGCGTGAGCGCGGCTCCACCTGGTGTCAAGCGAATTTCCCGCTTGGCACCAACAGTATCTTGACACTAGCCAGGGATACGACATTAGGGACTCAAGGTGACACGTGAAATGGGCAGTAGGGTGGGTGGGTGGGGGGATAGATTATATGTGATCACCTTTCGACTCAATGACTCCTTTGCCTGGCCTCGCCTTTCCCTGGCCTCGCCTTTCCCTGGCCTCGCCTTTGCCTGGACTCGCCTTTGCCTGGCCTCGCCTTTGCCTGGCCTCGCCTCTCACCAGGTAATCGTCAAACGCCTTCATGCTGTCAGTGTGAAGCACCTTCACACAGCAACCCCTCCCATTCCCTCAAGCACATCCCCTTCCCTTCCTCTCCCTCCCCCCCTTCCCCATTCTCTTCCCTTCTGCCCCGCAAAATAGACAAAATACAAACTCACACGTTCCTCACTCCTCCCTACTTACTCACTCCGTTCCATGTCCCTTTCCTCACCCCTTTCCTCACCCCTTTTCTCACTCCTCCTTTCTAAGTGGCTCACCAGGCAATCGTCAAACGCCTTCAAGCTGTCAGTGTGAAGCACCTTCACTGCCCTGCCACCTCTCTCTCATTCCATCTTCTCAAACCCATCCTCTTCCCTCTCCCCCCCTCTCCCCCACCCTGTAACTCACTCTCCTAACGCCTTCCCCCGCCTGCCTCTCACCAGGCAGTCGTCAAACGCCTTCACGCGCTCCGTGTGAAGCACTTTCACCGCCACCCACACCTCCAAGCACATCCCTCCGTTGCCTCATTCCTCCCTCCCTACCCAATCACTCATTACACTCTCTCCCCTCACCACGTCTAGTTTTGAGGCGCCTCAAAACTTCCTCCTCCCTACCCAATCACTCATTACACTCTCTCCCCTCACCACTCAGTCGTCAAACGCCTTCACGCTCTCCACATGAAGCACCTTCACCACCACCTCTTCCATTCCCCCAAGCCCATCACTCCATTCTCGCTCATCCTCAACCCCCCCCCCCCCCCCCCCCCCCCCCACGCCTCGCCTCTCACCAGGCAGTCATCAAACGCCTTGATGCTCGCCGTGTGAAGCACGCACCTTCACTGCCACACCTCTCCTTTCCCCAAGCCCATGCTCCCATCCTCTCCCCTTCTGTCCCCTCCCTCCCTCACCAGGCAGTCGTCAAAGGCCTTGACGCTTTCCGTGTGAAGCACCTTCACTGCTACCTCTCTCTTGCTGCCACGTGGCAGCTCTCCCAACCACTCGTCCACCTGCCCGCGAAAAACAGTCCCGAAGCTGCCCTTGCCCAGCTGCAGGGATGCATTGAAATACCCCGCTGCCTGCTGTAGCTCGCGGTAGGAGAAGCGCCGCAGAGGAGGAGGGCCGGAGGAAGGCTGGCCGTGTGCTGAGGGGTGACACAGAAGGGAGGGGAAGGAGGGTTGGGTTGTGTGTGGAAAAAGGTGAGAGCGCCCAGTTGCAAGGCCGCGTTGAAGTACCCTGCTGCCTGCTGTTGCTCGCGGTAGGAGAAGCGCCGCAGAGGAGGCGGGTTGGAGGAAGGCCCTCGACCCGCTGCAGGGAGAGAGGGTTAAGGGGGTAGGTAGGGTATAAAGGGAGGGAGAGGAGAGGGGAAGCGAGGGAAAGAGTAAGAACCCTTGCCTTGTCCAGCTGCAGGGCCGCGTTGAAGTACCCCGCTGCCTGCTGCAGCTCGCGGTAGGAGAAGCGGTGCAGAGGAGGCGGGCCGGCTGCAGGCAAAGAGGGGGAGAGTAAGGCCCTTGCCTTGCCCAGCTGCAGGGACGCATTGAAAAATCCCGCTGCCTGCTGTAGCGTGCGGTAGGAGAAGCAGTGCAGAAGAGGAGGATCGTAGGAAGGCCCTTGCCCCGCTGCAGGTGCAAGCGGGAGGGAGAAGAGAGAGGGAGAGAGAAGGAGAAGAACCAAGGGGAGAGTAAGGCCCTTGCCTTGCCCCGCTGCAGGGACACGTTAAAGCGACCCAGAGGAGAAGGGTCGTAGGAAGGCTGGCTGTGCGCTGATGGTGACAGCATGAGAATGTAAATGGAAGGAGAAGAGAGAGAGGCGAAAAGCGGAGAGAGGAGGAGAGTACGGTCCTTTTCCAGCTGCAGAGATGAGGTAGGAGAAACGACGCAGGGGAGGGGAGTAGGAGGAAGGCTGGCTGTGCGCTGATGGCGAGACAGAGGGTTTTGGGAAGAGAGGGTTGGGTGGGGAAAAGGGCAAACAGAGGCGCGAATGGGCGAGGGGGAAGAGAGAAAGAAGACATGGGGGAGGGAAGGGCCTAGCCGCAGAAAGGGTGCATGAGAATACCCGCTGCCTGGCTCTTGAGTCGACTCAGAAGTCATCTTGCTTGAGAATACCCCGCCGCCTGCTGTATTCCGCTCTCGCTATAAGAGGAAAGACGGGAGGAGAATTGATTGAGTGAGCGTAGGACGGGAGAGAAAGCCGGAACAGCTGTTGGGTGGGTCTCACTCACTACAACCGCGCCGCCTCGACGCGTCTCACGCGCGCAGCAAACGTGGCTCGCCGCGTCTCGCGCGCTCCTTCTGAGGCTATGAGGCTCGCCACGTCTCACGGTACAAGTCTGACTCTGAGGCTTCGGAGAAGGCTCGCTTTGTTCGGCTCGGGACCTTTGAGTCGCCGTCAAAAGTCGCCTCAAAAGTCAATCCGTTCGGGTCGGGACCTGCTGCTATCATCGGCGGACCTACTACGACGAGAAACCAACAGTCGCAACGCTTTCTGTACTTCGTGGAAACGTGGAAGTCGGAGCCTGCTGCATCTCGCTTGGGGTGTGATCGAGCAAGATGTCTGAGTTTCGCAAACCATAATTTCCCAAAGGACTCGTGTTCCACCCGAGCACCACGTGCAACGGGATAAAAAGGGTCAAACTGGGGCACGAGAAACGCAAAAAAAAAAAAAAAAAAAAAAAAAAACCTCGAAACGCAGGAATGGTTTATCTTCGGTAGCACTATGGCTCACGCCACGAAGAGCTCTCGCCGAGCTCGCCGCATCACTACTAGTGAGAAAGATCTCGCTACATGCAATCAGGCCATAACCGACCTGCGCCATTCCCGCGCACAGCCGAGCGCTTCGAGGGCGTCGCACCGAAGCACCCACAGCACGCAACGCCAGCATCGCCGTCCATGCCGCGCGACGGGCGCGACGCGATGACGGCAGGTGGACGACTCGCCGCGAAGCGGTAAAAGGAGGGTGATTATCTTGTCGGATTCGCTGAATTGACGAACATTTCGTGGCTTGACTCGGTGAGTTCTGCGTGTGTCTGCTGGAGGAACTGGGAACGCGAAATTGTAGTTGACGTATATTTAGAGTAATGAAGTCAGGGTAATCTGTGGCATGTCTAGAGTAATAAACTCGGACAAGAAGCTGTTACACTGGTTGATGAACACAATGACACGCTTGGCAATGGAACATATATGCCTTCACTAGCTGGTACTCGGACTTGCTGCAATGATTGCTGAACCTGCTTCAAGTCAAACTACGGTACGGAGCTGGCATGTACTTTCCCTCAATTCATGCAGCAGCCTCAAGGAGCACGTGAGGTGAGCAAGGCGAATTGAGCTGAGCCCTGCTGCGACGCTACATTCTTGGCATGGCGCACTGGCGCCCCGTTTTCCTCCTCCAACGGCTACCCTGTGCGACGGAAGTCGCTGCTGTGATTGGGCATCGGTAGCTTTTCTGTCGTACACGCAGTTGATTTTTCTCGCCACAGCGTCGTATTGAGCGTTACATTGACCTAACGAAAGATTCAGGTTTCCCGCAGGTATTGGCTGGTTCCAGCCCTGTCCAAACCAGACTCAGCGAGCTGAATTGACGAACCGACCATCCAGGAAATGCTACACCACTTCAAATAATAAAGGGAAAATATGCAAGTAACCAACTTGGGACTCGATAACGTGAATGGTAAAAACAAAACGCGTACGGTCACTGTATCGGGTTTTCTGACGGGTTTGGTAAGCGGGGTCACGGATTCAGTCACTAACAACAGGTAAAAAATCACGCGAATGGTCACACATGTAACTCCCGCCAAAAAAACTTGAAACTCAAGAAAATTCCCGCTCGCGCCCAACCAATCTGCGAACTTGTCAAAAAACTAAAACCCAATCGGAATCGGATGCGGTTTGGGAACGGATCAACCCTAAACACCTGGCGAGTTACGTGTTTAGGGTTGGTCATCCGAAAATGCATCCAGGTTCTTTTTGGGTTTCATTTTGTTTTGGCGGGAGTTTCTGTTGGAAACAATCGATCTTAAGCGCCTCTGTCGTGTCGAAACACTAAGGCATGAACGAAGCGAAGCATATCGAAGCACCGGCGAGTCAACCCTCGGAGGTTGAAAGTAACTGTTGGAGGTTACGCGAAAGTCAAAGGTCAGCGACCTTTGACCTGACAAGTACAGCGCGACAGCAAGGACACACAACTGACTCGCTACAAGAAGCAGTTGCCCGAGTCGTCACTGTATCGAACCGCAACAGCAACATTAAAGTAGTTATAACTGCATCTCTTCGTATTTCTTGTACTCTTGTATAATCTTGTATCTCCTTGCTTTAATCAATCTACTTTGCCCTCACATACTAGCGCAAGGTGGTTCACAGTACTTCATTAAACGCTTCCGCTACTACATCAGTCCTACCCAGAATTCGCACCTGCAAAGATCCTAAGGGCTTTTTCAGCCCAACATGGTATGAGAGCTATTAGGGGGAATTCAACTATCACAACACCTACAACATCAGAAGACATGGCTACTCAGAAGGAAAGGAGTTCCTCTATTGGTTCTCCCGGCACTACTCCTACTCCACCTCCTGCCTCTGGCCTACAGACAGAGGAGGGTACGGCAACAAGATCCAGGGCAACATCTAACGAGTCTCCTGCGAATCAATCTGCAGGCTTCGACCTGAGCATGATGGAGAAGTTTTTCTCCTTCGTGTCCTTCTACGAGCAACACCAGCAATCGGTACCTGCGCAGTCACACAACAGTAACAACAACAACGACGTGACTCCAATGAGCCTTGACGGTTCATCCTACGCACGTGGAAATCAACAGCAGCAACCTACCTTTGCTCCATACGTGCCCCAGCGCGGCTCCGTCAGCTTTATGCCACAACCGCAGCCTGCACCTGGACAGGAGAAACCACTGGACGCACTTCAAGTTCAGTCGCAGTTCGCGCACGTTTTAAAACTTCAGACGACAAGGCCTTTCGACGGAAAGGACTTCTTCACCTGGTCGTTCGAGTTCGAGTTAATGATGGAAGGCGCGCAGATTCTTGGCTTCTTCGACGGATCCCTGCCATACCCAACAAACGGCACACAATACGAGAAGCAGCAGTACACCTATCAGTCAATGCTGTCGTATACGATTCTATTGAGGAACATCACCCCGAACCAGCAGCAGAATATACGGTCTTACTGGGGATATGGTAATTCCGCCGAGCTCGCATACAGCCACTTGAAGAACCTGTACCAAGCAACAGACAGCGTTAATCAGAGTCGGCTAATGGCGCAGTTGACAACAGTGGAAATGAAACCAGGCGAAAAGGGAATAGCGTATATCAGCCGTTGTCGCGAGCTGCGCGACAAACTCCTTCGATGCGGAGGGTCAATATCTGAAGACGCCTTCGTGACAGTCATCATCGGCGGCCTCGGTCCTCAATGGCGCGCCACAAAGGCCATTCTCCGAGCCCACGGAAGAATCTCCGAAGCAGCACTCTGCGCCGAAATCCACGCCGAGCAGCAAGACATGGACCTGCAAGAAGAACGACACAAGAAGAAGATATCAGCACCGGAATTTGCATTCCACACTCAGCGACGCTACAACAACTACAAACAACAACAACCGAAGCCCGTACCTCCATTCTGCCACATCTGTAAGACGTCAGGGCACCCGCGCACGCACTGCCCGAATCGACAACAGTCAACTCCACCGCAACGGCAGCTTCGACCCTCAAGCAGTCAAGTCGCCTCCACGCAAGCGAACCCCACAAGTCAACTGCAGTCCCCAACGACATCGCTGTCAACACAATCTGCACAAGGAACAAGAAACATCGTCAGCTGTATGGCAAGATTGACCGACTCCTGCATCACCGAGTCACCGCCACACTACTCACCGGAAGAACAACTTGACAACACCACACCTCGCCGCGAGTCACTTCAACCGAATCCAACGTACGCAGCCATCGCCCAGAGCGAGCCATCCGGGAAAGACACCTGGTTCTTGGACAGTTGCTGCGGACAGCACATGTGCTCTTCAGGACGCTTCGTGCAACAAGAATACCAACTCCAACGCGAAGTAGTCATCACCGTCGCCAACAACCAGAACCTGCGCACACGACGACAAGGAGTGGTTCAACTTCAGTCACGAGAAACAAACGTGATACTACAGATGTCAAAGATTCTGATAGCAGAAGGACTTGGATATAACTTACTCAGCGTCAGCCAGCTGATGGCGAAGGGCATCCATCTCGAAGCAGACAGCACCACTCAATAATTCAAGTTGTACCACGGGAGAGGAGGCCTTTACATCGGAAAGGCGGTCCTGAAAAATAACGTCTTCGTTCTTGATTTTGTTCCAGATCTAGGCACAGCAGACAACGACGGCATCGTCGCCTTCACTTCCTGGACCCACCCTCCAGACCTTGATCCAGACTTCAGCCCCGGCGGCTTCTGGTATTCACACACCATCCCTGAGGCAGAAAGAACAAGGGCATTAGCAAAAATTCAGACAACATCGGCAGCAGCAGAGACAACATCGGCAGCAGCAGAGACAACATCGGCAGCAGCAGAAACAACATCGGCAGCAGCACAACCATCAACGGCAGCAGCATGAACGTCAACACCAATCGCTGGTCCTTCAACGGCACCACTCCTCGTCGACGACACACCACTGACACCCGCGCAACAACTACACCCGGCACCACGAGAAGTTCATCGAAGCGCCAACTTCACCGCCAGCTTCTATTCCAACTCCGATATGTATCAGCGCTCACCCGGACATCGCGCCACCGAAGGAACCTGGCACGCAAGAATGGGACATCCAAGCAACACGGTGTTAAACAACACGATAAGAGCAGGCGTGCTCGATAAAGACTCTCTACTCCTAACTGACGGCAGAGAACTTCAGCGAGCCCGTGGAACATGCTTCACCTGTCCCGAAGCTGACTTACCGCATCAACCATTCGCGTCTCACCACAACCCAAACGTACCAGCTTACGCGCCACTCGAGAAGGTGTACAGCGATATCCTGTACAACCGCGAGCCTGGACAAAACGCATACAACTACACCATCACCTTCATCGACGCAGCCACTCGATACATCTGGCACCTAAATCTTCCAAGCAAGGACATGGCCTTCGAAGCCTTCGTCGCCTGGCTTCCAGTAGCAGAACGAGAATCGGGCGTCAAACTAAAAAGCTTCCAGTCAGACGGGGGAGGAGAATACACCTCAGAGAGGTTCAAGGAATACTTAGCAGAGAGAGGAATCAAGCGACTCATCTCTCTCCCCTACGCCCATCAACAGCAAGGTGTAGCAGAAAGGATGAACAGGACCCTCCAGAACACTATGCGCAAACTGCTACATGGCGTGCACCTGCCCAACCACCAGTGGCCCGAAGCAATGGACCACGCCGTCATGCTGCACAACCTGCTCTCGTCATCATCGCTCCCGAACAACGCATCACCGCACCTGCTGTGGACAGGAAAACTGGGCAGCACAAAAATGTTAAGGGTTTTTGGCTGCATGGTACAGTACCGGCCCCCATCTGCACGAGCCGGCCGATTCTCACAACGCGCACAGTGGGGACTACACCTGGGCATCGAAAAGCATTACAACGCATGGAAGATTTTCGACGTCGAGACAAAAGAGACAGTAGCAGCACGTGATGTCATCTTCTACCAAAACCTCACCCTCCGGTATTACCTTGCCAACTTGCAAGAAGAAAACCCCGACCGCTCCGCTGGTTTTCAAGGCACCCGAGCCTTCGCCTCGGCAGACGACGAAGCTGACTGGGACGAGCAGAACGTGGAAGGAGCCTTGGAAGAAGCCGGACCTCTCCCCTACTGCTCCGTCGACGTGCCAATGGACGACGAAAACCCACGCGAAAGCATCAACGCCGAAACCTACTACCATTTCGCTGACAACGGTTACGTTACACCTGCAGAAGCAGAACGCGTAGGACCCAACTTCACACCTGATCCAGAAGCGGGAGACGAAGCTGTTTATCCCACGGACATGTCACTCCCCCGCTACACACAGAGTGGACTCCAGATACTCGGGCTCGTCACCGCAGTCTACGGCACGGCCATTCCTAAGGAGCCTGCCACGGTTCAGCAGGCTCTGGGGGGGGAGCATAAGGAAAAATGGCGCAAAGCCATGGACAGGGAATTAAAGGCAATAGAGGAGCGCAACACTTGGAAAGTCGTTCCCATCAGTGTGGCGCGGAACAAAACGATTCTCACCGGAAAGTGGGTTTTCCGAGTGAAAACAAAAGCAGACGGCACCATCGACAAATTCAAAGCACGCTGGGTCGTACGTGGCTTCGACCAAGAACACGGACGCGACTTCACCGAGACATTCGCTCCGGTCAGCCGACATACCTCACTACGAATCCTCCTCGCGATCGCCGCCATGAAGAAGAAGAAGTTGCGACAAATCGACGTCGCGAACGCATTTCTCTACGCACCTGTCGACGCAGAAATCTTCGTCGAGTTACCGCACGGCTCCAAAGGAGAGCCCAATCAAGTCTGTCAGCTGCTGAAGTCGCTCTACGGCATCAAGCAAGCTCCGCGGCTATGGCAACAATACCTGCACGCTCGCCTCATTCGCATCGGCTTCAAACAACTACCGCATGATCAGGACATGTACCGGCTCACGAAGAACACTGACTACATCCTGTTAATCGTCTATGTAGACGATCTACTCTACATCGGCTCGACCGACGGCATCACAACCTGGTTCGAAGGGGAGCTGCAGAAGGACCTCACACTCACGGTCTCATCTACCGTCACACAGTACCTCGGTCTCAACATCCGAGAAGAGGAAGATGCGATCTACCTCAATGCCGCGAAATACGCCGACACCATCGCCAAGCGCTTCGCACTCACACCGACCGCCATCTCCACACCGTACCGCTACACGACAGGAAACAGCAAGGGAAGCTCCGCTCTACTTAAGCCTGCCTGCATACGCGACTACCAGAGGAAATTGGGATGCCTCCTTTTCGCAGCCGTCACCTGTCGCCCGGACCTATCGTACTCTGCAAGCCAGCTCGCCACCTACCTCAAGAAGCCTGAAGCAGAACATCTATCTGAGCTCGACCACGCTCTTCACTACCTAGTCAGCACCCCGACGATCGGTCTAACTTACTACAAGAACGCAACCACACCGCCTAAGTTAATCGGCTACGTCGACGCCGATCACGCTGGCGACTCCGACAATAGGCGTTCTCGCACCGGCTACATCTACCGCCTCGAACCTATCGGACCTATCTCTTGGCAATCGAGCAAGCAGGAATTAATCGCCCTCTCGTCAGCTGAAGCAGAATATATTGCACTCTGCTCAGCCACCAAGGAAGGACTTTACCTTCGCGAACTACTGGAAGAAGCGAAACTGGCTCAGTTACCCAGCTTCACTCTGTTCTGCGACAACCAGTCGGCAATTCGCATCAAGAACGGTTTCGCGAACAGGACGAAACACATCGCCCTGCGATATTTCTTCGTAAAGGACGAGATCGAAAAAGGGAGGCTCGAGCTGTCATACTGCCCCACGTCCGAGATGGCAGCTGACTACCTGACCAAGAAGCTCGGAAAGCAGAAATTCGAATACTGCATGCTGCTGACTGGACAGAGCCACGTCACCAACAGCGACACTCCAGAAGCGAAGGGGAGTGTTGGAAACAATCGATCTTAAGCGCCTCTGTCGTGTCGAAACACTAAGGCATGAACGAAGCGAAGCATATCGAAGCACCGACGAGTCAACCCTCGGAGGTTGAAAGTAACTGTTGGAGGTTACGCGAAAGTCAAAGGTCAGCGACCTTTGACGTGACAAGTACAGCGCGACAGCAAGGACACACAACTGACTCGCTACAAGAAGCAGTTGCCCGAGTCGTCACTGTATCGAACCGCAACAGCAACATTAAAGTAGTTATAACTGCATCTCTTCGTATTCCTTGTACTCTTATATAATCTTGTATCTCCTTGCTTTAATCAATCTACTTTGCCCTCACATACCGGTACTAGCGCAAGGTGGTTCACAGTACTTCATTAAACGCTTCCGCTACTACATCAGTCCTACCCAGAATTCGCACCTGCAAAGATCCTAAGGGCTTTTTCAGCCCAACAGTTTCATCTGTGACCATTCGCGTTTTTTTTACCAGTTGATTGTGACTGATTCCGTGAAACGCTTTATCAGTCGCGTGAAAACACCCTTTCCAGTGACCGTACCCTTTATTTAGTTACCAAATGTGTTTTCGAGTCCCATGATGGTTACGAATGGCATATTTTCCCAATAATAAAGGGCCCATGCAGTGTATAAACTTGCTGCTGAAGTCTGTAATACTGATGTTGCTCATGCTATGGTACTAATTTACATGTACAAGAGTCTGTACATGATACATCAGCAACAAAACAAAGCATAAAAACTTATGAAAACATGGAATCTGGAAGCAGTCCAGACAACACAAACACACCAATTACGCCGAACCCCTCGGGAGCTCCATTCCCACCACCGGGAACCACTGTCACTGAAATCTCCACCCTCCCTCTCGGCACTATCCCCGGCAGCACCTGCCCGCCCACAACCCTTGTAGGTGACCTCCACGCCTCCGCATTCAACAATATTGGCCCAATTTCTCCACCCTCCCCACCTCCTTCCCCACCTTTTCCACCCCCGCCCCCCCACGCTACACGCACGAGCCCAGGCCCGAGGTCCTGAGCCTTCAGGAACAGAAACGCCAGCCTCCCTCCAGCTCGTAAATTTACATTTATCGCAAAAGTTACAGTGGCATTGGGGACGTGCGACATAAACGCTTCTTTGTCGCGCGAGAGCGGGTACAGCACCCACCCAGGCTGGCGAGATTTCAAGGAGACCTGCCCGCTGATAGCTTTGAGCTTGGGGCAGCGGTGCCTCTGTCGGTAGTCCCCCCAATTGGTGGTGAAGCACTGCCCTCGCTCCGGCTTCATGTGTGTCCACGCCTGCTCCGGCTGTTGTTGAGCAGGCTGCCCCTGCTCTCTTTGCTGCTCCTCTTCTAGATACAGCTGGATGTCTTGAGGGGTGAGTGCCAGCAGAGAGGACACCAGATGCCGTACCACCACTGCCGCTGCCAGCTCGTGCCCAAACTCTACCATGTGCACCCGGTCGGCACCCAGCACCGTCTCCGCAGATACTTCCAAAAGCGGCCGCCCGACCACCTCTGAGTCTCCCACGTCAGAGTTACTAGCAGCGGCGGCAGCGGCGGCGGCGGCAGCGGCGGCAGCGGCAGCGGCAGCAGCAGCATCGGCGACGGCGGCAGGTGTTTGGCCAGGTGGGTAGAGAGAGCCTAGCTCATGACCTGAGCATCCTATCAGCCGGTTCACACCCAGACTCGCCAGCTGTTCTTCCACCACTCCTTCCCCTCCTCCTACCGCCTCTCCACCATCCCCGCCGAATCCCACCACCCCCCACCCCTCCCGGGCGTAGCACGCGTGCACACAGGCAGTGCACGGAAGGGAGAATGGCTTGTCTCCTGACGGGGGGCACCTGTCCTTGGGAAGCGTGCACTCCCTCTCACACGCCCCTGCAACCAGCCGCACCCAAGCCGACCGCACTCCACCTCTTATCCCACTCCCCACACCACCACCCGCAGCACCAGCACCAGCACCAGCACCAGCACCAGCACCAGCACCAGCACCAGCACCAGCACCAGCAGAACCATTCCCAAAGCTCCCGTCGATATTCCCACACCGGGGAACGGACGCGGGGCGCCAGAGCGGAGTGAGCGCACGGGCCATACTGATCGTGGGCACGCCAGCAGCAGCAGCAGCTGCAGCAGCAAAGTCAGAGGAGGAGGGCGTGGGGATGGGGTCGCAGGAGGCAGAGCCTCTGGCGGGGCCGCTGTGGTGGGAGAAGGTGGAGGCGCAGCCGAAGAGGTTGAGGTTGAGGAGAGCAGGGTGGGAGGGCCACAAGGCCAGCTGGCGCAGCAGGAGCGTGGAGTCCCAGGCCTCACCAACGTTTATATTGAACTCGGTTATTACTATGCCTGGTGTTGGAAGGGAGAGGATTGGGAAGGAGAGGGATGGGTGTGGGGAGAGGGGAGAGCATTGGGGGTAGCAACAGAGAGGAGTCCTAGGCCTCTCCCACGTTGATGTTGAAGTCTGTGATCACTATATCTAGGGAAGGGGTGGTGGGGGCTAGGGGTGGGATATGAGTGGAAAATGAGAGATGGAAGTGATGATTGTGTAGGTGGTTGTGGTATTTTGCTTTACTTGGTTGTGGGCTAAGAGTATGGGCAAAATGTGCTTGTTAGATTTGTTGCGGGTTGAAACTGAACTCGCACACACCAACCACCACCAAACCTTCGCTATTCGCTAAAACACCTTTGGTGTTGTTAGTTTGGCACTTTGAGTTGATGTTTCATTGTTGTCAAAATCGTCACTTTTTAGATTTGAACTCTTGCAAAAGCTATTCTTATATCTAATTCATGGCTTCGTAGTAATTCTGTCATGATATCGCATTCAAATCGCGATTGCATCAGCCTAGATCTTGGTTGAAAGTGCGCTTTATCATTATGAAGAGTGGAGATTAAGACATTTCCAACGCGTAGATGCTCATGTTATAAGATTACTTGAGCTGCACGCAATGTTCCGTCGAAGTCGACGAACTTAATCTCTTACTACGCTCTGATGCTCATGTTATAAGATTACTTGAGCTGCACGCAATGTTCCGTCGAAGTCGACGAACTTAATCTCTTACTACGCTCTGATGCTCATGTTATAAGATTACTTGAGCTGCACGCAATGTTCCGTCGAAGTCGACGAACTTAATCTCTTACTACGCTCTGATGCTCATGTTATAAGATTACTTGAGCTGCACGCAATGTTCCGTCGAAGTCGACGAACTTAATCTCTTACTACGCTCTGATGCTCATGTTATAAGATTACTTGAGCTGCACGCAATGTTCCGTCGAAGTCGACGAACTTAATCTCTTACTACGCTCTGATGCTCATGTTATAAGATTACTTGAGCTGCACGCAATGTTCCGTCGAAGTCGACGAACTTAATCTCTTACTACGCTCTGATGCTCATGTTATAAGATTACTTGAGCTGCACGCAATGTTCCGTCGAAGTCGACGAACTTAATCTCTTACTACGCTCTGATGCTCATGTTATAAGATTACTTGAGCTGCACGCAATGTTCCGTCGAAGTCGACGAACTTAATCTCTTACTACGCTCTGATGCTCATGTTATAAGATTACTTGAGCTGCACGCAATGTTCCGTCGAAGTCGACGAACTTAATCTCTTACTACGCTCTGATGCTCATGTTATAAGATTACTTGAGCTGCACGCAATGTTCCGTCGAAGTCGACGAACTTAATTTCTTACTACGCTCTGATGCTCATGTTATAAGATTACTTGAGCTGCACGCAATGTTCCGTCGAAGTCGACGAACTTAATCTCTTACTACGCTCTGATGCTCATGTTATAAGATTACTTGAGCTGCACGCAATGTTCCGTCGAAGTCGACGAACTTAATCTCTTACTACGCTCTGATGCTCATGTTATAAGATTACTTGAGCTGCACGCAATGTTCCGTCGAAGTCGACGAACTTAATCTCTTACTACGCTCTGATGCTCATGTTATAAGATTACTTGAGCTGCACGCAATGTTCCGTCGAAGTCGACGAACTTAATCTCTTACTACGCTCTGATGCTCATGTTATAAGATTACTTGAGCTGCACGCAATGTTCCGTCGAAGTCGACGAACTTAATCTCTTACTACGCTCTGATGCTCATGTTATAAGATTACTTGAGCTGCACGCAATGTTCCGTCGAAGTCGACGAACTTAATCTCTTACTACGCTCTGATGCTCATGTTATAAGATTACTTGAGCTGCACGCAATGTTCCGTCGAAGTCGACGAACTTAATCTCTTACTACGCTCTGATGCTCATGTTATAAGATTACTTGAGCTGCACGCAATGTTCCGTCGAAGTCGACGAACTTAATCTCTTACTACGCCCTGATGCTCATGTTATAAGATTACTTGAGCTGCACGCAATGTTCCGTCGAAGTCGACGAACTTAATCTCTTACTACGCTCTGATGCTCATGTTATAAGATTACTTGAGCTGCACGCAATGTTCCGTCGAAGTCGACGAACTTAATCTCTTACTACGCTCTGATGCTCATGTTATAAGATTACCTGAGCTGCACGCAATGTTCCGTCGAAGTCGACGAACTTAATCTCTTACTACGCTCTGATGCTCATGTTATAAGATTACTTGAGCTGCACGCAATGTTCCGTCGAAGTCGACGAACTTAATCTCTTACTCCGCTCTGATGCTCATGTTATAAGATTACTTGAGCTGCACGCAATGTTCCGTCGAAGTCGACGAACTTAATCTCTTACTACGCTCTGATGCTCATGTTATAAGATTACTTGAGCTGCACGCAATGTTCCGTCGAAGTCGACGAACTTAATCTCTTACTACGCTCTGATGCTCATGTTATAAGATTACTTGAGCTGCACGCAATGTTCCGTCGAAGTCGACGAACTTAATCTCTTACTCCGCTCTGATGCTCATGTTATAAGATTACTTGAGCTGCACGCAATGTTCCGTCGAAGTCGACGAACTTAATCTCTTACTACGCTCTGATGCTCATGTTATAAGATTACTTGAGCTGCACGCAATGTTCCGTCGAAGTCGACGAACTTAATCTCTTACTACGCTCTGATGCTCATGTTATAAGATTACTTGAGCTGCACGCAATGTTCCGTCGAAGTCGACGAACTTAATCTCTTACTACGCTCTGATGCTCATGTTATAAGATTACTTGAGCTGCACGCAATGTTCCGTCGAAGTCGACGAACTTAATCTCTTACTACGCTCTGATGCTCATGTTATAAGATTACTTGAGCTGCACGCAATGTTCCGTCGAAGTCGACGAACTTAATCTCTTACTACGCTCTGATGCTCATGTTATAAGATTACTTGAGCTGCACGCAATGTTCCGTCGAAGTCGACGAACTTAATCTCTTACTACGCTCTGATGCTCATGTTATAAGATTACCTGAGCTGCACGCAATGTTCCGTCGAAGTCGACGAACTTAATCTCTTACTACGCTCTGATGCTCATGTTATAAGATTACCTGAGCTGCACGCAATGTTCCGTCGAAGTCGACGAACTTAATCTCTTACTACGCTCTGATGCTCATGTTATAAGATTACCTGAGCTGCACGCAATGTTCCGTCGAAGTCGACGAACTTAATCTCTTACTACGCTCTGATGCTCATGTTATAAGATTACTTGAGCTGCACGCAATGTTCCGTCGAAGTCGACGAACTTAATCTCTTACTACGCTCTGATGCTCATGTTATAAGATTACCTGAGCTGCACGCAATGTTCCGTCGAAGTCGACGAACTTAATCTCTTACTACGCTCTGATGCTCATGTTATAAGATTACTTGAGCTGCACGCAATGTTCCGTCGAAGTCGACGAACTTAATCTCTTACTACGCTCTGATGCTCATGTTATAAGATTACTTGAGCTGCACGCAATGTTCCGTCGAAGTCGACGAACTTAATCTCTTACTACGCTCTGATGCTCATGTTATAAGATTACTTGAGCTGCACGCAATGTTCCGTCGAAGTCGACGAACTTAATCTCTTACTACGCTCTGATGCTCATGTTATAAGATTACTTGAGCTGCACGCAATGTTCCGTCGAA